ATAAACATCATTTGATTTATTAATCAGGATGGAAAAAGTCATAGATCCAGATCTTCATCATTCAAAGTCATAGATCCAGATCTTCATCATTCAATTGATGATAAAATTTCATTTTTATTAATCTTGGTTCATTTGTTCCAATGCAGAAAAAGGTTTTCAAGCTGACTATTTTTTGCATAAAGAGTTTTTCATAATTTTTTAAAACATTATTTTTCAAACTAATAGAATAAATAATCGCGAGAAATAAAATCTATAACATGTGGGGTTTCTCCGAAGTTATCGATTGTTGAAATAAATGAATTGCATTTGCAAAGATCAAGATGAATATCCGCTTCATGGTCTGCTTTCTTTAAAATTGAAAGAAACGTAATCTGGCTTTTTGAGTTAAAATGCTTTTCTTTTGAAGCATATCCAGAAGTACCCCTGTGCTGCTTTAAATACGTCTATCTCTAGACTTCTTATACTTCTTGTTTTTCTAGAAACATTATAAAACTCAAAAGATTATTTAAGTTTAATGTTTTTAAAGTTTAAAGATTACGGAAAGTTTGAAATTTTTTTTCAAGTTATTCTTTTTATAATGGAAAAAATAATGTTAATCAATGTTGTATTGTTAAAAAATACTTTGAATAGTCTTTATTTGGTTTTTTTTACGTATTTGGCTTTCATTCCTTGGCTTTTTGTCGAAGTTGGCTCTTATCCCCATTTTGGCTGCGGTTATAAATATTTTGAAAAGTAACTCTATAACGGAAGTTATGAAATACTTAATTCCACTTCACTTTTCACACACACAAATAATAAGGGAATTGACTAAATAAATCGAGGGTTTTGATTTTTAAATAAACTTAGCTGATATATCTCGGATCAATCAAACTTATAATAAAGTACTTCCGCGCTTTTTTTGCAAGTGTAAAATTCCTCCACTTTTCGAGCACCTCTAGCAATACCAGCTGGCATAAGCTAGGTAGTTGTAGTAATCAGTTTAGCAGGAGTTTATTCAATCGTTTTTAGGAGTGGCAAGCAGTTTTAGCAAAGTGGCTTAGCAATCGGCTTTAATAATTATAAAAAATGAAAAAAATTTCAGATATATAGAAAAAAAATAAAAGTATCAAAAAGCAATCATAAAAATTTGTTCTGCTTAACGCAAAATTTTTTTGCAAATAAAAGAATATGCATTTTAAAAACTTTTTTAACGCAACACCGTTCTAATGTAAAGTTTTTGAACGCTATTGGAACAATATTACTATCTGCTATAACTTCAAAACACATCCTCGTTTTACGTCTAGGGTGAATTGACCAAATTCTGACTACGTCCTAATTCTAGCCGATTTTCAAAAGCACTAAAATCTTTAATGAAAGAGTGCGATTGTTCTGTTGTAAAATAAAAAAATATTATTTCAGCTTAGTAATTTTTTAAAATATTCAGTTTAAAATATACGAAGTCTTTCCAATGGTTCGAAAACATACTTCAAATATTTAATTTTTGTCTCCGTAAACTCAATGGTTTTTTCAAAGTTTTTATGATGACATTCAAACCATTAAAAAAGATTATTAAAAAGAAATGATATTATTAAAACTTTAAAATTTCAATAATTCTTTTAACTTGTGAATCTCTATATACAATCAGAACTAAGTTCAAAAGTAATTGGTCTTTTAACTAGCATCTAATAAATTGATACCTTAGCACATGTTAACTTTAATTTTTTAAAAAACTTCATATAATTATATTCATCGTTAAAAAACCTATTTAAATCTTTGTTGCGATGCGAATTTATTTTTCTAAATTATAAAGGCAAAGAGGTCAGAAATTGGTCAGTTTACCTTATATAACTTTTTAACTATATATCGATATGCCAAGATATAATGGCTAAGACTTATGAAAAATACAATGGCTTTGAAATTTACTGTCATATAACTATACTATAACTATACTGTAACCAAGATGTACAAATATCTTTGCCTAAAACAAATAAAATGTGTTAAAGTCATATTCTTATAGTCTAATATTATTATATCTTTATTAAAGATATAATTATAATTGACATTTTTATATTTCTGTTAACAACTAAGCTATTTATTCTACTAATCTCTACAAAATCTTTTAAAAAAATCTGCATAAAACATTTTTTTTAAAATTTATTATTTGGGAATATATTATTTAGTCTTTTTTGTAAATGTGTTTGTATAGTCGTATAATTAAATATTTAGGCATTAAATAAAAGTATAAATATCCATAAATGATTTATGGATATGAAATATTTTAAGCAGATCTTCTTTTTATTTTATAAGGCATATAAAAAACTGTTTTATTGTTTGCTGTATAAAATGATGAGCGGTGGATCTTTTTTACTCTTCTTATAGATTTTTCTTGTGCTTTTTTGGTAGTGGCTATGCAGTACAGTGGTTATTATATCAGGTTTCCTGAACTCTGCAGTTGCTCTCAAAAATGCTGGTTTCATCAACAACAAAAAAATATGAGAGTATTAACAATGCCATGATGCGCATGGATGGTGTCTTTATTAGTATATTTAGTGCATACTAATTGGGATATCACAAGGATACATATTGGGTCCGATCTAATTTTTGACCTATATTAGACTGAAATCAACTGTAATCAGACAACTTTACATCTTAGAACTCATAGTCAATTGCTGGAACTCCCTTTATTATATTACTGTCTCAGTCACTTTCCTAATTTATTTATAAACAAGACTCAAAAGTGACATTTAACTAAGATGGGTTACCTTATGAACTTATTTCTACCTCATTTGGTCATCATAGCTCAATTGGTCATAATAGGATTGCTTAAGCAATACTTATATGGCTTCATCATGATTTGATTTACAAAGTCTTTATAATATAAGTCTTTATAAGTTTATAATGCGGTAGTGGTGTAGTGGTAGAGCGCTCGCTTCATAAACGAGTGGTTTCGAGTTTGATCCCCACCACGACCCTAGTAGTAACGCGCTCAACTCGTTTCTCCGCGCAGCGCCTTGTTCATCAAGGTTCGTGTTTCGGAGTTATAGAGTTGAGAGAGGGTTATAACCACAAATAAGTAGCCTCGTCTGTAGTGGCCTTCTCGGCCTTGAGGAGGTGAATTTAATTAAAAAAAAAAAAAAGTCACATACTTAGTCTTGGTATATACTTACATATCACAATCCATCTAATTATTGTGAAATCTTGTTCTCTAACTTTCCTTTGGTTTCAGTCTGCACAACTTCATTCAATCACCTATCTCTTTGTTTTTTTGTTATTCTTCTAAACCAAAATTGCACTCTTTTTCATGCTATCTCTTAATAAATTGATTAAGCCTTTTTTGTTATTTAATATTGTTGGACATAATGATCAATACAATTTATAGCTTGATTTTAGTGACACTAGCCATACTAGAACTAATGCTCAAAATCTTTGCTTTTCTCAATCTTTAAAACAGATAGTTAATTTTTTCCCAGACAGTTCTAAAGTTATTTTTCACGTAAATTCTTCTACATCCAATCCTGAAAAAGTTCCACAGTTTTACTAAAAAATTTTTTAGAACATTCTTTAATAAACTTTAAATTATTTAACAAGTACTTAGCTGATTTTTTGTTGTTTTGTTTATGTGAAAATGGCATCTCTGGTTCAAATTTTTAAAAAATCTGAAGATTCCCCTGTATTTATTATTTTTGCAATCTACCAGTGATTGCTTTAGACAAGATTCTATCATGCTTTAGATGGAGGTGTTGAGGTATGGGCTAATGCTTTTAACATATCTAAGGCTTTCAATAAAATCTGTCAAGCTGATCTTCTCTATAATCTCTTTTCATATGGTGTGCCAAGGGAAGTTTTTAAAATTATTGAATCATTTCTTTGTAACCCTACTAATATTATTCGTAGTGGGCAACACTCTGTTTTGTTTTCAGTAATTTAGAATGCCACTAATTATTTTAATTTGTGCTATATTGTTTTTAATTCGTATTAATAATCTTTCAATTTTATATCTAAAGTGGTTCTATTTTTTTAATTGTACTCTCGACTAAAAGTCATCACTTTTTGATCACAATACAGGTCACACTTGATTTTGATTTTGTGACAGCTTCAGGCTTGCATTAAATGGTAAGTTTTAACCAACAAAGTTGTTTGGTGCTCATAACTTGCGCTTCAAACTCTGAATTAAAAATTGCTATTATGTCATCCACATAACGTTTATAAAAAATCGGTATGGAGGATGAGCAATTATTAACCCACGTTTGTTCATGAAAACCGATAAACATATTAGCTAAAATTGGCGCTAAAGGAGAACCCATTGCAACAAGTTTATTTGTCCGTTAATTTTTTCTCTGTATTGTCTTCAGTTTTTAAATTTATTTACCAGAGTTTTAATTGTAAGTTAAATCTTTTGAAAATGTAGTAAGACTACGAAACATGTCAAGAATAAAAAATATTGTGATTTTTATTAAAATTTTTACAAATTTATTGCTAATGCGATGTTCGAAAAAAAAAAAAAAAAATATATATATATATATATATATATATATATATATATATATATATATATATAAATAATATATTTATATATATATATATATATAGAACTCATTCCTATCTTCATGTTTTTCTGACTCATACAACCTACAACCTTTCAAGTCTGTTAATTGTTTCCTTGCTTTATAAGTATTTCCTAAATAGCTGTTTTCTTGCTTTATATATATATTATATATATATATATATATATATATATATATATATATATATATATATATATATATATATATATATATATATATATATTTTTTTTTTTTTCTCTTGTAACTCCCAACTTAATTGTTTAACATAAATTTTTAATAGAAATTTTTAAAGAAATTAATAATATGTATAATTTTGTTAGATAAAGTTTCCAAAAGTATATAGTGAATAAAATTAAGTTTTTGTCCTGTGTTTAGGCTTTTATTAAATCTTTTTACAAAACTTTCAGCAGATAAGGTTTCAAAAATTAAAAATATTTTTTACATAAATAGTTTTTATTATAAAATATTAAAATTTTATTTTAATTAAACAGATGCAAAAATCAAAGATTTTTGTGAAGAAAACACGTAAAGGTGGCATCATTAAAATAGTCCGTGAGCATTACTTACGTGATGATATATGGTGTGGCAGTGAGGGATGCACCCAATGTGAGAATGAAACTCCTGTTTTAAGTTCAAATCCAGAAATGCCTTCTACTTTATGTGATTATCCACATTACTTAATACTTGACACAAATGTTGTTCTTCATCAGGTATTCTTATATATATTATATTTCTCTAATGTATAGGCTTTTATTTGTTATTTGGAAAGTTTATTTAGTTTTATAATGAGAAAAATGTTTATATTTTAAAATTGATTGTTGATCAAAAGTTTAAGCAAATAGCAGTTATTATAACTGTTACTCTTGAAAATTTTGAATTTTGAAAGTATTGAACTATTTCTTATTAACTGCAGTATTAAAGTTGTTCTTGACAGACAGCATTTCTCTGAGAATTCAATTCTGATTTCTGGATCGAAAATTCACTTGCAAATTTTCAGAATGGGTTTACAAATTGGAAATCGTAGTGAAGCTTCAAAAAATTGGTGATATACATGCAGTACTGCCCATGTAAAGTTGTTACATAATCTTTGTCATTTTGGAGTTAATTGAACACTTTATCTGATGAAGCAGTCATACGTTTAGAAGAATGTACTCAGAAAAGATGTGAAATTAGTCGTAAAAAATTCTTGGCTTTCCAAGATACACGACAGATGTCTGCTCCACTCTTAAGTCACTTGACTTTAGAAAAAGTAAATCAAAAGAACTCACCACGGACACCTTTAGGTAATCGTCAAAAATACAAAAGTTCCTGGAAAAGCATTCAAAGTTTGTAATCTAGAGATCAAGCAGTGTTGCGATTAGTATTAATGTTTACATTGTATATAAGTTGTATACTTTTAATTGTATCAGAAGGAGAATTGCGGGTGTGTTTAGTACATAACTATTATATTTTGTTTTTATATGTTGTATAATATTGCTTATTATTCTCTTGGGTGTTCACAATTGTATTTATATTCAGTAGAAACTTCTATAGCTTTTGAACAACAAAAAGTAGCAAAGTACATATTTTTTTCAAAGTACAAAGTATATTTTCATAGTACAAAATATCATATAAGTTGTGTGCAATAAATTATGTTATTCAATTTGATTCACTTCAAACAGCAGTTAAATATTTGTGGTCCAGGGCCTACCAAAGACACTTAGCATTTTGTTTATTCAGCAATTTATTTATTTTTTTTGCACTAAATTGATCAAAGCAGTATAACAAATCCTTTCATGAGCCATTTTCCAACTGAAAGCTGAGCATTTTAGAGTCAGCTTTAGTCTTACATAAAGGTTTTTGGAGTTGTATAAACTGCTTAACCTACTTATTGAATATCTACTTTATTGACAATCTTTATCTAAGAAAATGCAGCATAAAGATATTTTGCACATTTTTATTTGTATTTTGAACAGATAATGTATTTTTTGAATATTTTTTTTATTGTTAAATTTACCTCTGCAAGGCTCCAGTTAAGGATGCTTCTCCTTTATTTCTCAAAATTTTAATTGAAACACACTCTCATCCCTAAACTCTAAATCCACTAATATATACATATATATATATATATATATATATATATATATATATATATATATATATATATATATATATATATATATATATATATACAAATAGTATTGCGTGATAAGGTAAGCAATCTGACGTCATACTGAAATAGCCTGCTGCTGGGGGCTTCAGTACATACATCGACTGACAAGTAGCTTGACTCGCAGTGGAGTGCTGCTACATCGACTGAGGGTTTTGGATGGGGCAGCAATTGTTTCATTCATTATTCTTCGTTTTTTTTCTTTTTTTTCTAAAAAAGCCGTATGGGTTAAGGTAAGCAAAAAAAGTGAGCAAATGCTTATAAAAATACGCTTTAGTAAGTATATATATATATATATATATATATATATATATATATATATATATATATATATATATATATATATATATATATATATATATATATATATATATATATATATATATATATATATATATATATATATATATATATATATATATATATATATATATATATATATATATATATATATATATATATATATATATATATATATATATATATATATATATATATATATATATATATATATATATATATATATATATATATATATATATATATATATATATATATATATATATATATATATATATATATATATATATATATATATATATATATATATATATATATATATGAGACATTTCATGCCAACTGGACCAAGGTCCAACATGGACCTCTTCAATTTTTAATGAAACTTGGTGTCTGGTTTTATGTCTGATGTATGAAGTGCCTTTATGCTCATACACACCACTAAGCATACATATATAAACTGAAATATACTTTTTAATGTTTTCATATAAAACTTATAAGTAACCTATTAGGTAAAAATCAAAAGAAAAACTTTTAGTCTGATTTACCTAGTATTTATTATCATGATTATAAATTTTATAATATTTGTCCAATATATTCACTATTCCACCTCTCCCCATTAATTTGACTTATTGATTTGATATCATTTTCAAATTAAGATTACAACTTATACCAAGTTATAAGAGTTGTTTGACTTCTCAACACTATGCACAAGTTGATTAAGTAATAAATAATATTATTATGTAATAAACAATCAATATAAACATTGAATCTTTTAAATGAATTTTTGCTAAAAGACTATGATTAAAACAAATAAATCAAAATAATAATAATAGTTTTGCTACGTTGTTGTTCAATTATGTTACTTTACAAATGTAATAATTCAGTTTTTTCTTGAGCTGATAGTTCATAGCATTTACAAGTTGTTGAGCTGATAGTTCATAGTATTTACAATTTGTTGATTGAATTTTCAAAGATGAAAATTTGCATAAAACGTGCGTTATTGGAGCCCAGCGAATATCTTCTTTATGTGGCCAAGTAAAAGTGTTTAAAGAAACAGGCTTTCCATGTGATGTAGCAAAAAAATGCCATTCTGCAGATACTTTATGATCTAGTTCATTTTTGTATTGTGAACCTACACCATCACTAAAATAAATGCAATGGTTAAAGTAAGGCAACAACTCTTCTGTTTTATTACTTCATAAATAGAACAATGAACTGAGTTTGTATTGTTTTGCAAAAGATCTGAAATGATACAAACACTTTTACATTTTATCATATTTTCTTTCATATAGTAAATACCAAAAGGATGCAATGTTGCTTGACTGTTGTTCCAATAGAAACCTTGTACTGCATCTTGAATTAAAAAACTATATTTTCAGCAATGTAAAGTAATACAAAAATATGTTTAATTGGTAATGTTATTTTTAGATGCTGCAAATATCCGGCTTGATTTTTGGCTATATAATAGTGGTCTCTTATTGTTGACAAGCTTTTTCAATAAAATCATACACTGGAAGAATTACTGGAACTATATCATGCGTGTTTGCTTTTTGCCACTGATTATAGGTGATATCTTCCATGCTGGGACTATCAAACAAAGCATTAAGATACTCTTTTAGTGTGTTGGTATCTGGGCAGTTATTGTATCTGTGCAACATGCAGTCTCGATTTTTTAAGTCACATACAACTAATGTCAAGAGGTCTTTATAGTCTGAAATATCTGGTATTTGAAATGCTAAAAATTTTGCATTTTGGTGGTACTCACAAACACATACTTAATGGAGACTTGAAGCACCTATAATAGGAATACACCACTTCTAAGTTTTAGAAAGTCTAAATTTTTTTAGCAAAAATTCATTTAAAAGATTCAGTGTTAATATTGATTGTTTATTACATAATAATATTTTTTATTACATAATCAACTTGTGCATAGTGTTGACAAGTCAAATAACTCTTATAACTTGGTATAATTTGTAATCCTAATTTGAAAATGATAATCAAATAAGTCAAATTAATGGGGAGAGGTGGAATAGTGAATATATTGGACAAATATTATAAAATTTATATAATAATAAATACAAGGTAAATTAGACTAAAAGTCTTTCTTTTCATTTTTACCTAATAGGCTACTCATAAGTTTTATATGAAAGCATTAAAAGTATATTTCAGTTTTTATATATGTATGTTTAGTGGTGTGTATGACCATAAAGCACTTCATACATCAGACATAAAACCAGATACACTATGTAAGAAGTGTTTAACTACAATTTTTAAGTTAAGTTTAAAATTTTAAATTTCGAAGTTCTGGGAAAAAATGTGCATGTTAAAAATCAATTTGACTCAGGAGGGGGGAGGGGGCAGGAAAACTAAGGCTATTTAAAAACTGAGTTTAATTCAGACTTAATTAAAGACTTATTTCTAGTACTGATTATGAAATACTTTTAAACTCATTCATATTTTGTATTGCAATATATAATACAAATTAAGGTACAACAATAACTTTGTTCTTATTGTTTTTAATGCATTTTGGGCAATTTTCATTGTTCTGATTTTGTAACTTGCTCATGAGTGCCAACTATTTTTTTTTCTGAAATCACTGTAAAAAAGTCTATTAGATTAGAAGAAAAAAAGAATCTTATTAAAACCAATGTTGATCCTAGGTTAAGTGGTTTGAAGTGGAGGCACATTTTCCTAAGTTTTAGCCGCAACCATTTTTAGAAGTCTATAATTTTTTACTGAATTGTATTTTATAAGTACATTTCTAAAAACTTGGAAGCCTTCCATATATAGAAACTTAAAAAATATGTCTTTTCACTTCTTAAGCTGCAGGTTTTGTATATTGACTCAAAAATCAACTTTTTATATTTGCAAACAATTTTTTAGGTTTTTTAGGTAGCCATTATGGTAAAAATGTGACATTCAAGAATTTAATGTCAAAGATTTATTAAAGTAAGTCTAGAGTTGTATACAATAAAAAAAACTAGAAGGTTTTCTGAAATTTTGTTTTTAAAATATAGAGCTTTAAAGTATGAACAAAACATGTTTTTGCTACTGAAGTTTTTTTTGTGGAAAAATCAAAAATTTCAAATTACCATATCTCATGAACCACATAAGATTTTATGCTGAAATTTTCAGGAATTGCTTTTTTCATTGATATTTACAAACCCACCAAGTTTCATTAAAATCTGAGGGGGTCTATGTTGGACCTTGTTCCAATCGGCATGGAATGACTCCAATGAATACAATGATTTACTCTTTGTTTATTTTGATAAACAAAGAGTAAATCATTGTATTGAGAGAGAACATTTTTTTACAAATCGAACTGTACGTCACTGGGTTGCTCTCCCGCTAAAGACTATTGATGCACAAAGTGTCAACTGCTATAAAAACTTTTTTTATCTAACTATACCTTTGCTTAGAAAAGCAAATCCTACAAAGCAGTGGAACATGAGGCAGTTTCTACTGGGTTTCATGTTACCTGATAATTTTACTGGGTTTCATGATATGACTATAGAAATGATCTTTACAACATAAATAATCAAAACCATTAAAACATCAATAATTAAATGTTCTCATTTATGTTTAACATTAGTTTTTATATTTTACTACTTGTTTTTTTTTGTTGCTTTATATTTATTTTTTATATTTTGTTATGTTTTTATATATTGTTTTATTTATATTACTTTGTTTATTACTTGTTTTTATTAGTTTAACATTCTTTTAGATGGATGTTATTCAAGATGATGTTTTTAAAAACATTATATTACTCCAAACTGTTTTACAAGAGGTAATATTTAAAATTAAAAACTTTTTTTTTTGCTATAATTTTTTTTTTCACCCAAAAAATGTTTCCCTTGGTTTTTATCAATTCTTTTAGTGTTTTTGTTTACTAATTAAAAATGGGTTTAACTTTTTAAAAAAACCTTATAATTTTGAGATTATTAGATTTTATGTTAAAATAATCTAGTTTTTTTAAAATGTGAACATAGTTGATAAAATACAGTTTTTTTAAATTGGTAAAATTGTTAAGCATGTTTTTTCTTTTCAAAATTTTTTTTTTGAATTTTGTTTAATTCAAAATTTAAAAACAAGCAACAATTTTATTTTTCTTTCTACCCTAGTCTGATCACAGACTATTTTTATTTATATCGATTTTCAAGTATTATTAAACCTAATAACTGATATTATTTAGTTTTTAGGTTTAATAAATAAATAAAAATTAAATAGTGAAAAAAATCAAAATTAATTCTTACATTCTTATATTTTCTAATTATATATTCTGAATAAGAATTGTACATTTGAAACTTTTTCAAACTAACATGGTAGAATAAAACATATATAATAAATGGCTAAAATAAAAATAAAAACAAATAATATGTAACTGTATATAAAATTTATATATAGTGATATATAAATTTTTAAAGATTTTTTTAATTGTGGCTATAAAAAAATAAACAATAACTAAAAAAAATAAAAACAATAAATGACTTACAAAAAAAAAATAAAACCATATATCCTAAAAAACTGACGAAAAAAAATCAAAAAACTAAAACCGCATAACAGCGATAATATGAAAAATGTTATAGGAAAATGTGAAAAATAAAAAAATCTTGATTTGCCGATCTTTTTCCCTTTTGCCGATGTTTGATAGTTAAATAGTTTTTTAGATGTTTAATTTTAAATCGTTTTTTTTTCTTTCTTTTTTTTTTTTCTTTTTATTTATTTCATTCATTAACTTTTTTTTTACTTTCATTACCTTATTACTTATTTTTTTTTTCAGATATTTTGTTTTTTTTTCTGCTCTTTTGTTGATCTAAAATAATTATTTTTCGTTTAATTTATTAATTTTTCCTGTTTATTTTTTACTACACCTTAAAATCATTATATTCAAAAATAATTTCTTATGCTAGTTGTTAATGAAACTTGTTTTTAAGTGATGCTCAAAACAGGTATTTGAGTATTACTTAAAAAAAGAATTTTCAAAATTATTTCAGTGTTTGAAAAATTATTTCAGTGTCAGTAATTTGTAATTTGGAAAAAATAGTTAGGCTTGTTTTAAAACCTGTTTTAATAATTGCCTTTATCCAAAAGATTATAAAAGATTAATCTTTAGCAGAGAGACAATCATCATTAGTCCAAAGACCATCACAAAGAAAATTATAAATAGTCTGATCAATTTTTGTTTAAGAGATCAGACAAAAGACTCTTTTTGCTGCCTCAACAATGCAGTGCAATATCACTAACAGAAACACCTTCAATGCACAACATGACACTGTTAATACTTTGACATGTAACAACTGTTGATGAAATCTTTCTCTCTCTCTCTCTCTCTCTCTCTCTCTCCTCTCTCTCTCTCTCTCTCTCTGAAAGCGCTTGAGTTTACTTGACAAAAAGTCCTAAGGGAGTATTTTAAATCTAAATCAAGGTAACTTCTCCTTGCCTTTGCTTAGAAAAGTGAAACCTTTTAAGCAGCTGGTATATTATGGTATATTATTTACAATTTTGATATTATTATGAAGCAGATGGATATGCACTATATACTAACTAAAAAGTTGCACTATATACTAACTAAAAATACTAACTAAAAAGTAATTTGGGCTTTAAAATTTTATTTAGAATTGGTATAATATTTTGCTAAAATTTTCAAAAATAACTGTTTTTGAAAATTTTTAATGATAGAAAATAAACAAATTTATTCTTAAAAAATTAATTTCATTGAAGTTTTTAATGATAGAAAATAGTGTGTTTTAAAAAGTAAGGTATTTTAAAAAAAAATTCTGCAAGGAGAACTCTATTAGATTAAGTTTTATTTTATTATTAAATTTAATTATTAAATTAATTCAAAAAAAGTTTTTTGTTTTTTTTTAATAAGTTTTTTAATGAAATGTTTTATGAAAAATTTTTTAATAAAAAAGTTTTTTTTTATTATCATTCAAAAGGTTAAACACCAAAGTTACACTGCATACAAAAGAATACGTGAAGTTATAGCAATGAAACAAAAGTGTGCATATGTCTTTTCAAATGAGCATCATATGTATGTTTTTTTTAATGGTATTTTTATATTGTAGTGGAAGATGGTAAGGCCATTTATTGGTGTTTTATGGGTGTTGTGTTGGGTGTATGGATGTTGTGTTATTGGATTGTGTGGTTATAGATGTTACTTTTGTAAGTAAGTTAAACAAGTATACAATTTTTATTTAGAAAAACATTCATATCTCGACAGAAAGGTGAAACAGCTAATGATTACAATGATAGATGCATCAGAGTAGCCACTAGGTAACTTGCTTATTTTAGCCACTAGTTAACTGTTGCTCATTGACTGCTTAATAGTTATGAGTTAGTTAACAAAATATCTAGTTGTATTAATTTAGGTTTATAAAATTTCGAATTTCAGTTATTTAGGCAAGCACATTGGAAGTAATGTAAATAAAGGAAATGAAATAAAAGTTGTGCTTTTGACAAATGATAAACTTAATCAACAAAAAGCACAACAGGAAGGAATCAATGCATTTACAGGTTAGCAATGTTTTT